AAATACATCTTTGGAAGGGGAATGAGAAAAGGTGTTGGAAGTCAGAACTGTTATATCAGCATGGTGAAAAAAAAGGGAAATCCCTAAATCCCTGACATTAGACAGCAGAGAGGCAGAAGACGAGGAAGATACAGCAATCTATTTTCCTTACTTCGAAGTTACAAAAATAACACTTTGGCCAGTAAATCTCTGCCTAGTACAAGACAGTTCTGGGACAGACATACAAGCATATTTCTACAAATAGCTAAGGCTATTTGTAGAAAGAAGGTGAATTTTATTTGTAGAAAAGAAGGTGAATTTATGTTGCTGTTTTGGAGCGTTGTGGTTTTTTTTTGGCTTTTTATTTTTTTTAACATATTTTTAAAATCTCCATCCATATATTAGTTAGGAAAGGAATTTTTTTCTCATGCTGTAGCTGCATCTAGGAAGAAGAGATGTCATCTAAGATCAGAGAGCAAAGACGGTGACTTTGCAGGTCTACATTTTTCTACAGCTTATCTTCAGTGAGACTGATTACAACAATTTTTCAAGTTTAAACATTCTTAATTATCTCTCCTTTACAATGTTTCAGCAGGCACAGTTTAAAGTGAATTAAAGGTTTTAATTTGGATTTGTAGGAATAAAGCGTTTCAAGCAATTGTGGGTATTTCAATTCCACCTTGAAGTCTCATCTGAGAGCAGGAGTGCTAGAGTTGCATAACTGCGAAAATAAACACGATGAGAGACCTACTGTTACTTAAATGTGGACAAGTTGGACCAGCTGTGTAACAGTCATTGCTTTTACAGTAATAAATGTTGACAGCAAAAATAAAAAGAATGCATTACTGAGAGATCATCAAATGAGCCCTGTCATTACATGGAAACTCCACCCTGTATAAGCTTGTCAAAAAGTGTTACTGTAATCCTTTGAGAAGCCTCCACCTCAGGCAACAGAGAAAAATGCTTAGGATCAGCCCAGAACAGGTGTGTTGCACTGTAATGCCAGTATTTAATCAGGGATCTCTTCACATCAGCCTCACGAAGGAACTAACTCAGATCTGTGTGGGCCCATCATGCAATGCTGGGATGTTTATTTAACTATCAAATTAAAGCAAGCAAACTAACAGAGCGTTTGCAAATGGACATTCCAGGGCATAGACTATTTTACAATTATCATTTGTTTTCTTGTCAAAGTCCAGCAGCAGGCACTGACACTTAAGAGGAACTGATACCACGCACTCCTTTCAAAGTCAATCCCCGACAAATCTCAGTTCACACCTTGATCAACACCGGCAGGGGCCAGTCACCTCTGTTCTGAGACGACTGCTCTCTCACTTGCAGGAGAAACTCTTCAGTTGCATTTATTTCCTCTTTGCAAAAATCCCCAACCCTACCGCCCAAACAGTAGTTGAGGTACAAACAATTGTAGTGTGGGTATGACAAGTAGACGTGGTTAGAAAAGGAAAATATGTCCATTAGATCTATGAAATCATTAGTGCAGCCTCTTATTCCATTAGAAGGAGCCTGGAGCTGTTTCTAGGGTAAGAAACTCACAGGACTGAATATTTCCCTGGGAGATGGTGGTCTCTACTGGTGCATGTACAATTCTGCTACATACCCTGAGGCTGGGCTCAGACCCTAGACCTGACCACGCTGAGAAGGGTAGGACTGCATCCTGGCCAGCTGGCCTTGCTGCTGTTGAGGCCACTGAACCACCATTCAATTAACCAGGATCAGCCCATTAGGATCCATTATTTGGCCAGTTCTTACCAAAAGGGCCACATTAGTACAACATCAGCACCTGGATGACCATATGCTATTGTTTGTGGCTTGCTACAAAGGCAGTTTGAGAACCAAACTTACAAACTGAGACAGCATAACAGCTAGGCCATGTGTCTACAATGGCACATCAACAGTGTGGCCTGAAAGGATGAGGTTTCTGAAATTTCAGCTGGTCAACACAGCTGTCACACAGCAAGAACAGGCCCAAGGGTTCATGACTGGCCCAGAAGCTGTGGAGAGAGAAGGAAGAAGAATAGGAAGCCAGATTTGTCCCTCTTTAAGAAAGTTCAGGAGAGAGAACGGATGCCTAAATTAAGCACCACTTGTACCTCAAGACAGGTACGCTGGATTACCATGACTACAGATACACATCTCAGTATTTTTTAAAGTATTTCTTTGGAGACTAAGTAAGAAAAATCTTAAAGATTTATATATTGTGTTTAATTAAGTTAAATCCAATCACCGGTTAAATGATGGTATTTTAGTAATTGACATTATGGAAATATGCCCCAAATTTGTCTGATTAAAATTGTAGGAGGCTAAACCAGTAAATTTTACTAATACCTGGATACAAAAGCACAGGAGTTAGCTAACTATACCATTACCACCAGCTAATGAAATGACTCACTTTGCTCAGGAGAGAGAAGTTGGTGACGGTGTTCTGAGTATCCTGCCTGCAAAATCAGTCGATGATTCATGACAGGGAACTGACTGTAAGGTGATGCCTCAACAGCTATAGCCAGCATCGCGGCGAACACCTGTACCATTAGCTGGCAGTGGTAATAGTCATCCTGTACTGAAATAACCATCAGAGGGCACTGCAAAACATGCTGTGCTAAACGGAATTATGCAATAGCTGTGTTTGAAGCTTTCATGGTCATGCAAGTTAAAGATCCAAAGTGGAGAGGTTCAGCTGCGTAAACTGACCCATTAACGATTTCATGCTGTTATTTACACGTGTTTCCAATTCCATTTCTCTCTCTCACACACACTTCTCCTTACAGCAAGGCTATATAGATGACTTGTCATTGTAAAGCACAAAAGAATTTTCTGCTTATCTTCTTGTGGTTTTATGATGACTTACTGTTGCTATTAAGAAAACAGTAACAGAAACCGGACTCTGTATCCTGTTTGCTATTGTGATATTTGGGGGAAAAAATGCACCCACTGCAGTAAGTTCTTTAAAAAGAAAAGGTGTTGATATTTGAACACTCTAAGTTGTCAAGTACAAGACTTACAAGAAAGCTACATGTTATGTAGCAAACCACAAAAAGACAACATTTTTTTTTCAGGTGAAAGCTTTCTATTGAGTACAGTCTGCTTGCCAAATACTCCCTCTCTGGAATAGCAATTTCATAAAGCACGGTTGTTTTTCATTTTCAAACTTCCTGCTTCAAAGGCAAAAGTATCTGAGATCACCTTTCCTGTGTGCTTGTAACAAGTGAAGCCAAGTTATAAGTAAATACCCTCTTTGTGTATAGAACCCATAGCGTCTGAAAATCTGCCCCCTAAGTTTATGAAATTTTCCATTAGTTTTCTGAATGTCAAAGTGTATTAGAAAAAAAGCTCCCAATGGGAAAGAAATGTCAGTGATGCTCTCAGCGACAGGAAAACAAAAGGAAATGTGAAAAAAACATATACACAGAAGACGTGGACAATGAAAGATTTTAGAGGACTGTATAAAAATTATTTTTTTATTCTTCCTACCTAGGAAGAACACTTACAATAAGAAGCCTGGATATATCCATATCATCACATGGGGACATGGAGGCTGTCACTGCTCTTGGGCATTCAGTGAAGAACCCCCAGCAGCTCAGGATGGAGAAGCCGTTTCCTGCTTCTGCAATCGTGGCCTCAAGGCTACCATGCATTCCCTTTCTTTGAGCTTTGAGCTTTTTCTTTTGAGCATCATGCCCAGATTCTTCTCAGTTGCAAACCCGCCTGGTTTTCTCCTCCTAGGATGGGTCTCTCACCTTCTCACCTGACTTCTACTTTCTCTCCTCCACAATAATCTCCCCCGCTCTGGACAACTGTTCTGGTCTCCTGTTCCTGTACTCCACTCCAGTTTCTTTATTTTTCTTTGACTTCTTCTTTACTTTTTTTTCCTTTTACACATCTTTACTCCTACTTCTAGTTCCTTTCCCTATCCTTTTATCTGTTCTTGTCTTACTGCCTTTTTATGTCTTTCTTTCCATTTTATTCCTTTCTGCCAGATTTTGTCATTTCTAGTACTGAGTCTTCTTCAGAACTCATCCACATTGTGAATTTTAATTTCTTATTAAAGCTTTAAAAAAAATCCGTACTCAACATATTGCTGTTAATATGCAATAAAAATTTCAATTATATCATGCCTTGGATTTTTGTTGTAATCCTCGTATTAAAAGTTGTGTTCAGTATTAACAAAATCAAAGTCAAATTTCTTCACCAATGAATTACAGGTAGCATAAATAAAGAAAAAAAATGGACTACGAATACTGTGTAGATAGCATGCCTTCATATTATTATAACCATAATCAGTAAATCTCATACAGATAAGATACAAGATTTAAATGTGAAGAATGTTTAGTGAATTATTGTCAATCAATGTCTATGCAACAGGATAAGAATAATCTTGAATGGCAACACACCAATTATTACAAATTCCCGAGTAAGTACTTCATTACTTCCAAATGTCACTCTCAATTTATAGAGTAACAGATAAACATCCCTCAGCTGTACGCCTCACTGTGTCTACTTCTTTGCAATTGAAACACTGTTTTTGCAAAGTGGTGCTGTCTCTTACTCACTTCTGAATGGTGATTCTGTACTGGCATAGTTCTGTTTTTTAAAATTGCTTCTCAAACTCCTTTTAAACATATACTTTTAAGACACATAATCTATCTTTGCTTTCTACCTACAGTCTAGAGCTGGTCATTGGGAAAAAATCTGATTGCCATTTCCTTGTATGAGCATACTAAGCTCTATAATACCAGTGTAAATGTAAACAGTTACTCATGACTAATATTTAGAAAAAGGAAACAAACACTCTGAAAATGACAGTAAACCAATAAGGAGTTTTTTTGAGAGACCCAGCTATAGGAGACACAAAGAAGGCTTAATATTTTTGTCACAGATAATGGAAGAGGCACACTAAAACGTGCCATACTCAACTTCATTGGCTAAAGAGATGTTTGGTTATTTTTGCATCCCCAGTGATTTGTGGAAGACAGTAGGTATCTGCAGTAACTTTCAAGTCTCACCTCATCCTTTATGTCTTCCTGCTGCTGAGCACTGAAGATCTCCATTGCAGCCATCAGCCTCATCATTAGCTCATCCACTGTTGTGTTACCTAGCAACACAGGGAGACAGCTGAACTTCAAACCATTAAAGTTATTAAAAAAAAAAGTAATCTTGGAATTAACCTGTAAAAAATAGGCAGTTCAAAAAAAAAAGGCGACAGAGTAGAAAATGCAAAATTTTACCAAACCTTAGCAAAATGATTTTAATTGAAAATTCAAAATTGTTTCTGCAAGAGAACATTGACCATAGGCTAAAACTTTATGTAGTTCAAATCTGAAAAACTGGTTTTGTGCTTGCACGCAATAACTCTATTTTTCTTTTAAACACTGATGTTAGAGGAAAGTATACCTGGGGTTCCCTGACATGAATTCTTTTTTACAGGTTTAGAATTCTTGGGTATAATCAAGGAGACTGAAGCAATTGGCTAGTCAGGTAACAAAAGGTAGGAGGTTTCCAGTAGCATCTAAACAGATTTTTAATTTTTAATTTTTTTTAAAGGAATACAGTGATTAAATGCATCTGTGCACATGCATTTTTATTCAGGTATAACTATTTTGGGTAGTGAAATTTCAAATATAGTAATAGTATAGTAATAATATACTCTCTTCAGTGTGTTTACTTCTGATAAAACTTGTAAAGCTAATAATAGAAAGTAAATTACCTGTGCATAAATCTCAAGAAATATAGCATATATATAATCAAACAGATAATTCCTCACATTTTTCTAGCAGTGTGTCTCCAGCCTTCAGGAAGACTGAAAGATAAGTTTAATTTCCTACCAAGACGTGCTCTGTCTTTGGTTTCTCTTAGACTGAAGACTAGATTACCTGTTAGAGCCACTCACAGCAGCTAAAAGGCAAGACCATTTCTCCATGAGAAATAGGCTAAATCTATAAACTGTTAACATCTGCCAACCTAAATGATCTTCGGACACTGACAGAACAATGCCATCAAGAGCTACATTGATATTGGTAACGCTGGTCAAAATTTTAAAAGGAATAAACTAACCTTAAGCCACAGTACCAAGAAAGAAAACAAAAAATGTACCCAGAGTTTCCAACCCCAGCAAAAAATAAAAAGCAAAAGCAAACTTAGACAGTCTGCATTTCAATAAACGCCTTCAGGACTTAAGTTTCTACACTGTTGTATCTCTTCTGCAAACACTGCCTTCTCACCCTGCCCTGAAAGGCCCTCATTGTTCCCATTTCTAACATTTGCTACCTTAGCAGAAAATATTATCCCACATGCTACAACATGCATTACTTCAGAGACTACCATTCATTTGAGGATATATTGTTAAAAGATACCAATGTCCCAATTCGTGGGAAAATAACAAGCCCAGAACATTTGGGTTTTGATAGAATTTGAATCCAAGGGTAAATTTAAGTAAGACTGCAACGGATTATCAATTTAGTTCAAAACACTATTTGGAGAAAACAAAATTAAATCTTAGTGAATGCAATGAAATAATTTGGATTATTTTATAATATAAAGTTGTGTTACATTATGACTCTGAGACAGTAAGCACCACTGACTTCAGTGGGAAGCTTAAAGTTACATGAATGCTTAACAATGCTCTAGAGTTATAAAAACAAGAAAATCTATTTATTAGGTTATTTGTATGAAAAAAGGTTTATAACAGACAGACATACCATGAACTAGTATTGTGCTGTACCTTGCACTAAAGAGAGAATATCCATGCAAAATTAAGTTTTGGCCACTGAAAGGAGCATTGCAGATTCCTCAAGAAAATGATTAATCTCATATGCAGAAAGAAATGGTAACACTGTCTGCAAAAGGCAGGATTTCCAGAGGCTTAATTTCCTCAGGAAAATCAGGATATTAGAATAAAAACTGACAGATATGACCAACAAATAAATGAGAACAGTCATTAAAGTAACCTTGTGGAGGAAGATAGAATGTGGGGTACCCATTCTGTGATGCATTTTAATTTGAAGAGTTACTGAGAACAGCAGTTGAAGGGCATTCCACACCTGAGTTACCTCACTGCCAGCGGAATCAGAAGAATGGTTATGCTAGAAATAACTGCTCACGTACAACAGAAAGCTTCATTTATATGAGATTATATTAGCTACTTAAAATTCTGATCCAATTTAGGGTCTCAACACTGCAGGCGGGCCTGAAAAAGCAACTCATACTCAAATATTATCCCACTACGTGCAACAGGAGTCCACATATTAACAAGGAGCTACACAGAGAACTAAATGCATGCTGGCACTACACAAAAATGCAAACATTTTGGGGATTTATCTGGTTATAAATTTGGAAAACCAAATGCTACTCCATTTTCAGGAGATTTGGCTTCTTCTTTTAAAAAGAAAATCTGAAAAACCTAAACTAGGATCCTACTCCAGTCACGGCAACTTCGATCTCTAACACTATGCTAAAGAATGCATTTATGAATAATAAATTTATTTATACGCTGATAATTACAAGTTTCTTCCGTGTAATAAATTTATAGCCTGAACACCTTAAAAAAGAAACACTTAGCAAGGATATCTCCTAACAATTTCAGAAGCCACATAAGAAATATTTTCAATATAAAGCAAGAACTGTACCTTGTATTACATTCAATACTTCATTAGATGATCGTTTTCCCATAATAATAAGAAAAAGTGGAAACTGATCCGTCTTCTGAGTTCGAATAGTTTGGGCCACAACACTCCCGAAGTGTCTCGTGCACATCGTCAGAAACCTATGTGGAGGAAAAAACAGTTAACATTGCAGAGTTGCTTTGGAAGTTAACATTTAAAAAATTAAAATTCAGCAGTTTGACTATCTTGCTATCTGCTGGTTGACATCTAGGCTTCTGCGTTCAATTTTAGAGCTCTTTATCCCTTTTTATGATTAAATTATGAAAATATTTACCAGTATGAAAGACTCCAGATTTTCTACACTGAGACAACTAATAACTGGTAGAGAAAACATTTATTTTGATGGAGAATCCCATTTTTGTTACACTGAAGCTTTAATTCACAATCCGTTCCCACCCACCCGCAAATAATCACACTAAATCGATTGTTAGAAACTTCTAAAGGAACTAAGTGAAGACATTACCTAGTAAACATGGAGAAGTATAAAAATAGTTTTGTTTCATATGAAAGCATAATTTAATAATGAAATATCAAGCAAATCTTTTTATCAGTTGTAGAATTAAAACAGGGTACTTCAGAATTGTCTTTTCTTTTGTACTAGTGCCCTGCCAGTGACATACTTAGCAGTGTGGTCTAAAAACAATAATTCTAAGCTTTTGACCAAAAAAAGCTCTCAGATATTAGCATAGAGAAGTCTAGCATTAGTATTCTTAACACGATCTTGAATAAATGAAAAAACTGATAAAGCTTTTCTCTTCCATTAGAGGACTGTTTGAAATTAGCATTTCTTTCAAGAGAAAAGGGTAGCTTATGATATGTTTTCAGATCTGATGGTAAAAAGTAAATGTCATAATAATAATGAATTATGAAAGACCAAATGCAAATATAGAATGCTTTAATAAGATCCAATTTAATAAAGTCTGTAAAAATAATGGACTTTTAATAACACGGGTCACAAAAGGCAAAACAGTGGAAATTCTGAGGACTAGCCACTGGTACAGGCTTATTAATTCTTAATTATGTTCATGAAAGGCAACTTAAATCGTGTGTTTTCTTATGCCTTATGATAATATTTTAGGTAACAACTACTCTGAAATGTATGCTCTAACTGAAGAGCAAAGTCCTGTTGTCACATGCATTAGAAGCCAAATCTATTTGAAAAGACAAACTGCATTAAAATGTCAAGTGCTCTAAGTCATTTCTCCTCAAAAGATACTGAAAGATTCAAAAATATTTTGATTTTTTTAATCATCACATATTACATCTAACAAAATCGCTAAAAACTGAAAAGCCCGATGAGTACAACATTGGGCACCCAATGTATAAAAAGAAAACCCTACAACTCAACACCATTCTATAGCCTCACTATGTCTGTAGTTGGATGGAAGGCAATAAGCAGGAATAGCTAGTGAGTACTTCAAAGCCATAAATGTCACTTGCAAACATCTTTCCTTGCCTCCTTGTGCCTCCATCTTTTGCAATTCAGAACTGTCAAATGGAGAGACAATGTCAAAAATGTCAAATAGGGACTGCTATATCAGAAAGAGCTAAGTAAAGACAAACTGCTAAAATGAAGTGTCTGGACATACAAACTCTTAAGAAAAATAATGCTTTTGATTTTTGGTTTTCAAGGTGGGAATAGATAAGTCATATCTCAGCTTCACAAAAGTCTTTGGTGATCTTCAATGACAAATCGACTCCTGTAAGTCCAGAGTTTCTCTTAGAAGTAATAAAAGAGCATGGTCAATAGAAATGAGTTCCTGAGATGTGTATGAGAACTGTTTAAACAGTTTGGCATGCCATAGAATAAAAGCACTAAAGTTTCATGGGAAAACAAAATATCTAACTGAAGGTAAATAAACACTGTAGAGGAGTGGTTTTTTGTTCCTAGAAGGAACAAAAGAGGTAATAGCAATATTAGTTGCGTTCATCAAAAGTTTAAATTGTCTGTATTTTGTTAAGACACAACTCATTCACAAAATATGCTTTCATAGGTATGGATTTGGTAGGCAGAGAATTCTGCATGAAGCAGCTATTTCAGTGTGTTAAAAAGGTTCCCAAACATTTTTTTTTTTACCAGGAAATGATTTTTATTTTTTTATGCGGAACTTCCTGCCTTAGGAAAATCTCAACCTAACAAATTATGATACTTGGAGGTCCTGTAAAATCAAGGCTGGGAAACGTATAGGTTTCAACTTACTGGCTTCTGAAGATGACATCTTGTGCCAGACTGTCAGAAGGATGCACACATTTCCTGGTTGAGTAAAAGCAGAACACGTGCCAGATGCCAACAACGTCTCTCATGATTTTTTCTTGGGGCAGCTTCTCAAAGCCCATGGCACCATCCACCCTGCTTGTACAAATCTCCACCTTCCTCCACTGCTGCTGCAATTTGCTCAGCTTGCAAGGACAGGGCCAGTTACAAGAGAAGCAGGAGCCAATCCTGATCTGAATGGCACACATTTGCCACTGCTGCCGTTAGGCAGCCTTTCTCTGTTTTGGGGGTTGCGTGGGAAACAACAAGAGCTGGTTCCCTCCCAGCTCTTCCAACCCTGAATAAAGGATGTCCACATTACAGCACTGGCAGCCATGGTGAGGATGTTCGTGGGGGATGAATAATCAGCTGGCAACAACATGCATCTTCAGAGATTAGCAATTGTCCTCAAAAAGCTCCTCACTAATGTGATTCCTCAAATTAGATCCTGCTCTTTTGCAATTGACTAAGACCCTGTGTGTCTGCTGAACTAAAATATAGTAAGGCCAATAAAAATGTGAAGGTAGTTCAACGATGTCCCACTGAATAAAGAGATACCGCCAGCAATCTCCAATACCTGCACCGCGTAACTCCTGTTCACCAGCAATCACTCCCTCACATACGTGCTCTTAGCCAGGGCAGTGGTATGTGAGTGCTTAGCAATTTCTCATAACATCTCTTCCTTTCGTTTTACTAGATGGGTAGGAATTGAATTTTCATTCACAATCCCCATTCAGTTTTTCCTCATGCCTTTTAATAGATTTTGCAACTAATTTTGCCTTTTTTTCCTTCCTTTCTCAGCCTTTCCCGATTGTGGATTTCCAGACCTTTTTACTTGCTTCCGTATCTGACAAAAAAATCTTCACGCTAGCATTTACTGTCTTCAGAAGTATGTGAATGGGACCAAAACAATTTGGTGTCATAACCAAATGCGTACAACGCTTACAAGGGATTTTCTTATTTCCATCTAAATAGAAGTGTGCCAGATCCTTTAGTGGCATCTCCAGAGCTGCCAAGAAAACTGCCCGTGGAGCTCATCAAAGAGCCAGATGTCACTCTGGGGAGAACTGTTTTCCACAACACGCTGGATTACTGTGATCTCCAACCAAAAGTGGAAATAGAGGAACACTGCCAGAAAGGGAGGGCAAATGGCACCCTACTAGTCCTTTTATTTTTAAATTATAAAAATATTCATGGAGAAAAAAGTATGAAAAAGGCAAAAAGCATTTTACAAAGGAAAAATCCATTTAAAAAATCTTACAGATTTTTTTTAACGTTACAGAGTAAGTCATCACAAAGTAATAATTTTGTCAGACAGCATCACTTCTTTACTTCTTTCACGACTCACTTTTCGCAAAATCCACAGTTATTAAAGTTACAAAATAAACACAGTCCCTGATCATGGCTTGACAAATACAAATACAAAAGCAAACCCTAAAAAATATTACAAACTTATCTCAACTTTTTAAACATGGTTCAAAATTGTATTAATTCTTAGATATAGCTCGCTCCTTAATTAAAAGCAACACACAGGAAAAATTATTCTGGTGAAATGCAGATGTTCATTTTGGGGGTTGCTGATAACTGCACAGCAGATATCCCTCCACGTGCACTCTGTGATACCCAGTAAGAAGAGCGATCATGTTTGTTGCACACTCTATACAAGCTACTTTCCCAGACAAGAAAATCATACTAATGTTCCCTCACAGCTAATATTATAGCACACATTATATTGAAATATACTTCTGGCACTACTTTTTCTTGTAACTATAGCGTTAAATGCTATTTATTTAATATTTCTTTTAAAAAGTTTCTAAGGTGACAATTACGGAAAAACAACTGCTTTAAAAATCTACTGAAATGAGTATAAAAATATTATTGTGCCTCAAAAACAAAGGGGATACTTGTTACATCTGAAGTCCATGGTCTATAGTAGCTCGATCTTGGATATGTTGTACAGAACTTTGCAAATGCTTGGGTGTATCAATAATGTTTTCTGTAAGAACAGGCAGCTTTTAATCTTTATCAATAGAAGGGGTCACCTTTGGCCCAAGTGATGATCATGACAAGTGTTATTTCAGACCTCAAGATGTTTTGGTCTCTAGGAACCTTCTGATCTCTATAAGACCTCTTTACGCTACAAAATACATACTTATCTAGAAAACATAAAAACATATGAATATAATGGAGCTTTTTGGTAGTGTAAATTGAGTAGTGTTTCATAGGAATCATTAAAATGACTGGTATTATCTCATTGTTCCTTTATGTACATCCTGCTCATGTATGATGTTCCTTTGCATCTTTATTATTCATATGGACAGGATCTACTGCAGTCAAGTTGGGATCCATGATTACACATGGTCCTCCCTTACCAAACCAGGCATAAGAACATACAAATAAAAAAGCTATGATGATAAATACTTTAGAAAAATTTATATGTTCCTTAATATTTTGGTGTAAACCACTGAGTAGGCTAAGAACATCCCCGGTGCACAATCCCTAAGAGGGGCACAAGTGAGAGGGAATATTTATTCCCTTTCAGTCTGAACTGATGTTCAGTCCACAATCTAGATGACTCTGGGTGGAAAAAGTGTGATTTATTTATGGCTAGATACTTCCCAAGGTTAACCTTACTTTTTAGAAGCTTCAAAACTTTAGAAACGGCTGTGAAAAATTTGACTCCTCTCTTGAGCGTGAGGAAAACAATGATGACTATTAAATATGCAATGTTCCCAATTATTTTTAATAAAAATTATATACTGTGCAAAGTCAATATAAGACTCATTAAAATGTTAATGTAAAAATAATATTTTTATATTAGGTATTTACATTTTAAAAAAGTAAAGT